ATCTCAAAGGCTGGATTTTCAATAAAGTTTTCCATCCACCCTCCCATTGTGTCGTTCCTGGAGGTGGAAGAGGAAAAGCAAGACCGCCTTTAAAGTGAGTCAGGAATTTTTCTGTGGGTTTTAAAAATCCTCTTTATTTCCTTCTGGGTCTTTAATCACTTTAATAGATTGCCCATCCACCCATTTGGGTGTCCTATCGAATGGAATAAACTGCGTGCAAGACGGTGACTCCGCGATTGGAATCTGGTGCCTCAGGTGGGTTGTCTGAGTCCACTTGGGCAACTGAAAGAAAGACGATGGAGCGTGCTTGTCTCTTGCTAGAAGTAAAGTGGGCTCGTTCTTACAGGCAGACTGTCTACAGGCCAAGATGGAAACAATTGAAGTTTTTACAAATGTGGCCCGATTTTTTTTTTTTTTTTTTGAATACTTGGTGGCAGGTTCAGAGCATGAATGGGGGGATAGAATCCATCTTCTGGATGGGAAACTCCTGGGAAATTGAGTTGATGTGAAATGTTTCAGAGTCATCTTCAATGGCTTAGATTAGCAGGAGAGAGCTCTAAGTTTCTACATAAAAAGGAACACAGCTTTGGAAACAATTACTTGTTGCCTATTTGATGTCTAAAGGTGCCAAGTTTGTAGGGAGACTAAAAAATATCACACCACTCATCAAGCGGTTTCTGCATTTGAGGATCTGTGTCTAAGTTCCTGTGGGCTGAACCACTGAAAGCTCACAACAATTCACTACGGTATGTGTTAGTGTGTGTGTGTGTGTGTGTGTGTGTGTGTGTGTGTGTGTGTGTGCATGTGCATACACACTCAAGCACACACACGTTTATTGAGGCAAAATTTATAATAGATTTAGCCACTTAGAATGGACAAATCAATGACATTCAACACAGGCCCACCTTTGTGACTGTCCCTCTAGTTCTAGAGCATTTTCATCACCTCAGAGGAAAGCACACTTCCCTCATATTAGCTTCTCAGGGCTGCTGTAACAAAACACTACACCTAGAGACTTCAAGTAACAGAAGATTGACATCTCACAGTTCTGTGGACAGGAAGAACCGCAGGTGATGTAAGACTAGACCTCCTCTGTGGCTGGTGGAATCTCCGTGTGCTTCTGTCTTGCTTCCAGCATGGACAGTAGTCTTGCTGATCACTGGCCTTCAGCTGCATCTCCAATGTGCTCATCTTAAAGCCTCTGTCCTGTGTATGTGAACACTGTCATCCCTTTGTCCATATTTGTGTCCAAATTCCTGCTTCTTAAAATGATGCCCGTAGTACTGCATCGGGGACCACCTCTGACTATAGCGGTTACACTCTCAGCTGTTTGGACCTACATTTTTGCCTTTTCTAGGAACATAATCCAACCTATTGACTCAGTAGGCCATTAAGAAATCCCTCTTCTTTCCTAACTTTCTCACCATTGGTACCCTCCAATCTGCTTCCTGCTTCTCTGAATTTACCTACTTTGTACATTCCATATAGACAAAAGCATCTGATACATGACCTTTTTGTGGGATGTCTCTCATTTAGCTCGACGTTTCTGAGGTCTATGGAGGCTCTAACTGGTATTGCTGCTTTATTCTTTTTCTTTTAAACTTCATTCCACTTTATGGCTGAATACTATTATCCTTATTTTCCAAATGAAGAAACTGCTACACATAAAGGTTAAATAGCATGTCCAAGGGCAAATGATGAGATTTCAGAAGGCCGGGGAACGTGCTCATGTGTTGTTAAGGAACAGAGAGAAGGGAGCGCTAGATAGAGAGTGGCCGAGCAATACGAGGAGAAAGGCAGCTGGAGGCAGGAAGTCCCTGGCATCTTAGGAATGGCGCCTAAGGTTCAAGTTCAGTGTTGAACTGTTGCCATTCTCCTTAGGCCTTCAGAAAGTTATCCCTCAACTTCCTGTTTCTGTGAGGTATGCTTTGGAGGAACAATAAGTGTGTCTAAAGCAGAGAAAGACATTTGGAGATGATCAGAAAACACAAGTTCCTGGACATTTTACGAAGTCATGGACATCAATTTATGCATTCATTTCTCAAGGAATTTGGGAGAGGGTACTTTAAGGACTTGGAGAACAGTCCACATAGAAGATCTGATGTATCAAAAGTCATCCTGTTTCCAAGACAACCATAACTATCTGTATCAACTTAACCTCGCCCCCCAACTGCCTTTGTGGGTACCAAAGTTCTTTGTGTTAAAAAAAAAAAAAAAGATGCTGAAATTGCTCCTATGTCAAGTCTAAGGATTTCAACAACTGCACGAATCCAGTTGCCCAACCAGAGAGATGTGGCTGTGTACAATGTAAGTAAAAAAAAAAAAAAAAAAAAGACTTGAGGACTTGTGAGGATCACCCGTGGAGAGAGGGCCTCACTGGTGTCCCATAATTGCCATAACAAGCAACATAGAGTGGTTACCTTAAAACTATAGCAATGTATCCCTTCAGACTTCCAGAGGTTAGTCAGGATGTCGGCACAATTGATTGCCTCTGGAGGCCTCAGAGGGGCGTCTGTTTCATTAGTCCAAGGCCAGTGTATTGGTCAGGGTTTGCTACAGGAACAGAGCCAGTGAGTAAGTGTTACAATGGAGATTTACAGGGTGTGGCCTAGGGCTTGATAGAGCAGAGCCTGGATCCAGTGTTAACAAGATGTTATCCAAAACCAGACAACAAGGGATGGCTGCACTTATCTATTTATGAAGATAATAGATTTTCCGTCCTTGTTTTGACTTTGTGAGTGGGTGTATTTGTGTGTGCGTGTGTACGTGTTCATGTGTGCATGTGTATGTGCTCACATAGAGCAAGTGCTTTACCAAAAGAAACATCTCCTCATCCTCATCCTCCTTGTGATTTTTTTCAAAACGAATGCAATCTCTCTCAGCTAAAAACAAAGGAGGCACATTTAATAGGAACTCAAATACCAAATAACCATTTCTCAAACATGTGGATGATGAATGTGAACCTTGCCACATGCCTGTCGTCCTTTGGCATGCCGAGGGGTCGTAAGGCGCAGGGCTTGAACATTCTGACCACATGTAAATTCAGAAGACAAAATCTTCTTTAAAAAGTTATTTAAAGATTAGTTTTAGCATGTATCAATATGTTTCTATGCCACTCTGGAAAGTATGACTTTCTCATAAGAAAAAAAAAAGATGGTCTTGCACGTTAATTTTGCTTATATTTTTTCTTATGCTGCTAGTGTGATCCAAAGGCTCCATTCACAGGAGGTTAAACAATGCTTGTTTAGATCAGTTTCTCCATGAGAAAACCAATTAGTTGAAACAATGTTTTGACTTAATTTTCCCCCCACTCAAGTTAGAGGCTGAAGGTAGAGGTTTGGGATGTTCATTCTGTCAAAGAAAAGACGGATGAGAGACAACTGAGGACAAGTGCGACAGGGCTGCAGCAGCTTTAGGATTTGAGGGAGCCCAGCAAAGTGGGAGAGAGAGTGTTATTACTAAGTTAAGAAATCCATGGAACAGAAACTATTTGGAACTGGATGCAGTGTATTCATAGTTTATAATTGCACCCAAATCAGCTGTGAGAGTCTCCTAACCAAATAGAAACCACAGTTGACAGACATAAACATTTCTATTTATACACAGAGAAATTGAACTATAAAATATTTGTGATCGAGATGATAGGGAATTGAAAACACGCTGCACATGGCAGAATAAGTATTTCTAGCTTTTCTGCTTGCTCTTAGGCTTTGGAAAGGCTGGGCCCTCCCTGGAAGGCTACTTTGGAAATGAACTCCAGCATACCACAGTGCACACTGACCTTTTACCTTTTTTTTTTTTTTTTTTTTTAAATAAATGCATTCTCTAAATGTTTGCATTTTGTTCGAATCAGCTGGTAATCCTTAAGCAAGGATTAGCCGCATTGCGAGCCAAAGAACTTCAGCTCTTGAGGCTTTTAGGGAAATGTAATTGTTGAAAACAGAACTCGGGGAGGGGCGGGGGAGGAGAAAGCAGTGGAGAGAAGCAGCAAAAAACAGATTTTGTTTGTAAGAGCCACAGTGACACTTGATTCTCTGTAAGCTAATTTTTAAAAAGAAAAAAAAAGAACTTCTACATAGGAAAGTGAAGGAAGTGTCAAACCAATAGTATCATATCATTTGAATCTGGGATTAATGTTGCTCTGCAGTCTTGATCTATTGCTGACGCTTCTGTAATTAAGTGAATTCTAAATCAGAACGGAATGAAACGGAGAATGCCTATGTTTTTTTTTGGCGTCTAAATTTGGCAAAACTGTTCTAAAAATCATAAACAGATAGCTTACTTGATAAGCTCTGTTTTGTAAATCATTTGCCAGAGAAACTCTCTCTGGATCATGAATGGGAATTCCTGGAAAGAAGCTGTGTCTGCAAAGACTGAGTGAGTGGAGGTGATACTGTGGAGATGTTGGAATGTTGCAGGTCCAGAGGCTGCAGGTCTAATTACACCTTACCTTGGGCTAGCTTTAGCCCTAAATAACTATTCCTTTCCCAGCCCTTCGTCAATACTAACATCCTGTGATTAAGGGATAACAGCCTTTGGAATCTATTTACTTAAGCAGACAAGGAGCTTCCACCAATCCCAATGCTAAGACTATCGTCAGGTAGCATTTGAGGTCTATAGGATCCTCACCTTGCTGGAAACCACTTTCCTGATGTTGTTACTAATTTATTTGTAAAATTCTCTTACTATAAAAACTCCATGAAACTGCTTCCTCATTGGAACATTAAGTTTGTGGAGACCTAAATGTGTGTTCCTCGCCATGGTTGCTCATATTTGCTCCCCAATAAAGCACAGCTTTTATTTCTTAGAGATAAGAGCTGTTTCTTCCAATGATAGACTACAAGCAAAGGGCCAGGCATGGCGGTGTGTGTCTAGTATTCTGCAAGCTGGAACAAGAGGATCACAAGCCTGGAGCTCACCCAGGGGGGAAAAAATGGAAAAGGACAAACCCATGAAAAGATTTTAATTGAGACATTAACACATTTTAATAAGAAAAGTTAGAATAGAAAATATACTCTATTGTGTAGGAATAGTTCTCAGTTCGTGAGGTCTTTCAGCACTGTAGAGAGAATATTTTCTTGCTGGGGTGGTAGTTCAGTGGTAGAGCACATTCCCAACTGGTGCAAGGCCCTCACTTTGATCCCAGTACTGCTAGGTTCTAAAAAGAGTGTTTTCTTGATTAAATGCATATGGTCCATTGAGTCTCAGTAACTTCAAACTTAGGAAATACACAATTGAACACTGAAAAAGATTGTAGGCAATTTTATGAAAATAATCCATATATTGAGATATATTCTATAAAAAATGCTAACAACATGTTATCAGACATGGAAATGATCACATAATTATTACAATAAGTGATTAGGAACCAGGGATGATAATAGTCTGCTTAATATTGTTTCCAAATTATCTAGACAAATCAATCTAATAAACTTTAAAACTTTTGCTTTAATGTACATTGCCCTTTTAATTTTGAGAAATGATTTTAGCTTTGACAATGATTTATGACTTAAATGATTTTATAGACCTACCATTAGTGAAACCAATTTGTCAATCTACAAATGTACCCTTAAAAATTATATAGTGTTTGTTTATTTTTCTCTCAGTGTCAAAATTATCCCAGTGTGGATAATTAATTATATCTCACGTGGTTAAAACAGATGTCTATTTTGAATGTTCGCTGTTATAATTCCATTGCCTCATTTATGGCTTCTGATGGTGATTCACAGGCATCTATGCGAGACTTCCGAATGCCAAGAACTGAAAAGTACCTGCTAATGAGCATAAAATTCCTCACCTGGGAAATGAGCGCGCCTTGGGATTGACTCTTCACCCTCCAGCGCTGTTCAACTTCTCTCTACCGTAATTGTTACAGTAACAGCAGCTTCTGTCTCTCACAGGTAACCCTGCAGTAAATAAATGGCTTTTTAAAAGTTTATTTGGACAATTATATTGCATTCATTATCTGTCTTTAACAAATCACTTTATTGTTTATTTATATTATGGTATGTGAATTCGCCTTGATGTAGGAGAATGTAATCCCTTTAGCCTTAGTCCACACTATCACAAACATACTCACTAATGAGTTCATTAAGAGTCAAATAATTAGGTAATTGGTGGCTTAAATGCCTTGTATCATTCAGAAATCCACAGTGGGTTGTGTTATAGGTAATTAAAGAGCAGAGGTGACATACAAAAGGCATTATTTACCCCCCTTTAATGTGAGAGATCATGGGCTCTTGCTATGCCAAAACTCACTAATCACACATTTAAAAAAATAGATTTAGATAACGGAGACCACTTTTGTCTGTTGAGTTGTTATGTGAATGCCACCAGACACTGTTCCAGATCCTGAGGATTTAGCAGTGAACACAGTAGCCAGCGTGTCCTCGTAGAGCTTAACTTTGGGAGGAGTAAGTGGGAATGGAAATAAACATATCATATAATATATGTCAGACATAGATACACACCGAAGAGGAAAATAAACCAGGATAAAGCCAGAGGACACAGATACGGGGGAGGAGCTACTACGCCTGGTCAGACCAGTAAGGTGTAGAGTCCAGAAGGAAGAGAGGAAGGAGCTTAGTGCGTGTGTGAGTGTGTGTGTGTGGGGGGGGGGGGGGGGGGGCAGTCCCAGCAAGGTCTGAGAGAAGGAGGGACCTCGTGTGCTTGAGGAAGAAGAGGGGCCAGTGTGACTGAGGTGGGGGTAGAGCCATGAGAATGAGGCTGGTGTGGGTACCAGAGGGGTGGAGAGTGCAAGACATCTTGGAGACCTTACAGGTAAAAGGCTTTGGATCTCGGCCGCAGTGAGACGGGAGGTCACCGAAAAGCTCTGAGGACAGAGATGATCCGTGCTACATTGGCGAGCCTCCTTTCTATACGGACTGAATGCTGTGCATGTGAGGAGGGTGAGCAGAAGGCTTGGGACAGAGTTCTTGCAAGAAGGTTCTTGCAAGCATCCAGACTATGTGCAGTGGAGGTGATTAGAGTGGCCATACTGTGGGTAGCGAGAGGCTGTCGCTTCCATATGTATTCGGAAGGAAGGATGACGTTTCTTGTGGTGACTTGAATGTGGGGGGCGGGGGCCACACAGGTTCTCTGCCTGGAGAGTAGGCAGTGTGGGATTGTGATTATTTTAGCAGAGGAAAACTGGAAGAGTATGCTTGGATGAGGCAGAGGAGGAGAGGCAATGGTTCAGTGCTGGGCTTGTTAAACCGGAGAGCTGACTGGCCTACCTGAGCAGACCTGCGGTGGTTGGCTATGTATCTCTCCATACTCTTGTTAATTCATTAGTCGATTTGTGCTGCTAATATCACTCTATAATAGAATTGCTGTGAGGATTAAGAGTTAACAGGGTAAAGTGCTTTGCAAGGGCTTGTGGTAACCACTCAGCCGTCATTATCCTGAGCATCTTTGAGTCGTGTTTTCTAAGAGAATTCATGCAGAAAGGAAGATCCACATGCTTTATTGCACTTGAGCACACAGAATTGGGGACAGAAGTGGTTTTTAATCTCCCTTAATTTAAATCCTCATTTCCAAGCTGAGGCAGCCAATGGATGGGCAGGAAGCATTCTGGCTAGTCAAGAATCCAGGTCTAGAAGTCAGAATTCTGGACATCCGCATCCTCCCCAGTACCACAGTATTACAGTTTTCCCCAGGGGCCACAATTTTCAAGTGTCTTTGCTGAAAATCCAAGATCGCTTTCTATTGAGCAAGGCTTCTCCTTGTTTAATGCGCAGAGAGTTCAGGGAACTTGACCCTAGTGGAGTCGAGGGGTCAAGCTTCTCAGCAGGTGAACATGGAAGGGCTTAACACTATGTTGCCCTCACTGACCAGCCTCAGGAGCCGGGCTTCTTGGGGTGGGCTGCTGAACCCTGATACACCATTTTCTCTTGGGAAAATGTCGCACAGCCAAACTTCCTATCGCACAGCCAAACTTCTAGGCATTTGGGCCCGCCAACAAGAGGGAGTGGAGTGTAAGGCAGATGTGTCTGCCATAAACCCCCTGTGAACTTGGCTGTTTCTGCTAGGCTTTGTATTGTATCATCATCTAAGAAGTTCTGTTTCTTCCCTCTCCTGACTCTTCCCTTGGTCCCTTCCCACTCATCTCATAATAGTGATTAAGACCTAATTTATGCTAGAGTCCTTGTGAGTCTGGTTTCTTCAAAGGGGGCTCGTAGCACATCTGGGAATGAGCACATTGGATGCTCTTTCATCAAGACCCGCAGCTCAGCCAGTGCTGGGAAGCTGAGAGCCAGGAGGCCATCTAGCATATCCCCGGGGCTTTCTAACTCTTCTCAAAGTGGGGACATTGGCCAGCAGCAAAATTAATAAGATGACCCACCTCTTCCCTGGCCCCAGTCCATAGGAGAACTGGCTCCAAGGAGCCAGAGACTGAAGGGAGGCAGACAGGATGTAATGAACCAGGGACGTACGACAGAAGTGTGTGGGTCTGGCTGCAAGCAAGAACAGCTGGTTCCTGTGACTCAAAAGGAAAAAGCTTATCTACTGTCAGGACAAAAGAGACTTTATCCAAGTCAGAATGTACCTGGCTTATCCCAAGTAATATCAAGGACACCAGTCCCCCTCTTTATGGTTCGGGAGTCATGTGAGGAAAACTGGCCAGTGCTACACAGGGGCAGATTTAATGGCTCAAGATGGCTATAGTCAGGTCAGGCTGGGTCCCTAGCAGCTCTCTATGGGACTGGTCATTCAGTCCACAGCCAATAGAGGCTCTGGCTTAGTCCAGCAGAGCTTGGTGATCAGGGGAGAGGCCGCCAGGCTTGGATGTGGTGCAGGCTGCGTATGAGAGGTCAGAGGAACTGAATTCTGCTCAGGGGTGAAGTGCAATGACAAGGTCAGAAAGATCAGCTCAACCTCGTGTGTCTCATTCACAGCATCTCTTCTCTTTCTCTCTTGTCTAACAGGCAGGGATTTTGTTTATAGCAGAAACACTACAAATTCGCAAGGAGCCAGTGGGATAGAAGTGACGCCTCCTGCCATGGCCTGGATATGTCCACATTTTTTGTTGTAAATTTAAGCTCCAAATTTATATGTTAATGGTGTTTGGAGGGAGGCCCTCTAGGAGATAAGTAGGATTCAATGAGGTCATGAGCGTGAGGTCCTCACGGTGACATTAGTGGCTCTGTCTTGCTGTGTCATGCCTTTGTCACATTACAACACACTGAGCAGACCTCCTCGCCAGATGCTGACCAGATGTCAGTGTCCTGCTCTTGGACTTCCCAGTCCTCAGAACCTCAGGTCCAAGCAAACCTCTATTACTCATAGGTTGCCAATCTCTAGTAGTTTGTGAGGGCGATAGAAAATGGACGAAGTTATGCACCGAACAGGACTTCTAGAAAAGCTATTGTCTTTCTGATAAAAGGCTAGAATCTGGAGAAGACATTGTGATCATGAAGATGAAAGTTCTAACCTAAGGCAGACAGTGACAGGGGGCCTGGGACTTGGCTGGCCCTCCAGACATGCTCTGTGAATCCTGCACCCCGATCTGTTGGGAGCTAAGCAAGCTTCCCTGTGTGAGCGTTCTTCACTGATGGCAGCGTCACAGCCTTCCACTGTCAAGTGAGCTTTCCCATTTGAGAGTGGGACAGGCTCAGAAACAGCACAAAAGCTCTAGGAGCCTCCACTTCCCATCTCCAAAATGAGGACGATGCTCTCTTTCCTGTACAGGTCTAGAAGAACTTCAAAGAACTATGTCATTGTTAAACACTTCATAGGATCCCGCTGTGGTTGTAGGGAACAACTTGGCCTTGTCCATCTTAAGGAAGTAAAAGTAGATGGTTTGGTGGGGTAGGTAGGTAAAGAATGAGGATTCAGAGGGGAAGGCAATTAGCTTGCAGAAATAATGAACAAGCCCAGAATTGGGAAATCTGAGGGCAGAGCTGCCAATACACTCTCCAGGGAACAAAGCCCAGATGTGTGAATATGCCTCAGGCCAAGCCCATGCCTGCTGCATTTCCTCAAGTGTTCCTCGCCAAGGTGAGAAAGCAACGTCTGTGTGTGGGTGGGCTGGTGTGCAAGTGGATGCATTTGGGTGGCTGCAGCTGGTGAAGAATGAGGGTCCTGGAGGTGTAGGTAGATCTCCATACTTGCATCAAGAAGATGAATGAGTGGATGAAAGGATGGATGGGTGTTTGTACATCTGCATGTGTTATGCTGGACCTTGGGCAGTGGTAGGTGTGAGAATAATATACTCAACCCAATCCCAATTATCTCCTCTCTCTCTCTACCCTGTTTAACAACAGAAGGATTGGTATATTCTGGCTAAGTGATGCGGGTTTCTCTCTAGAATAAGGAAGAGATTCCAAAACTGGCCCTGACGGAATATACTAAAAGCCACTGAATAATTTACTTCACATCTGTAGACCGTATAGCATTTTTGGTTTGAGTGTCAAGTGTCCCCAGCTGGCCCATGTGTTAAAACCTTGGTCCCTGCTGGTGGCACTGTTTTGGAATGCTGTGGAATCTTTACCACATGGAGCCTGTGGTGGGATTGGAGGGTTATGGACTGGCTCTGTTCCTGGCCCGAGTTCTCTGCTTCCTGATTCACTGAGATGTGAGCAAAGTCTCTTGCCTCTGTTGCCAGGGCCACAGAGGACCCAGCTGCTTCAGCAGCCATGCATTTCCTGTCATGATGGAATGTCCCCTATCAAACCACGAGCCCAATCCTTCCTCCTTTAAGTTGCTTCTTGTCTGGTATTTGGCCATAACGACAAGAGAGAAAAGCGGCCAATACACACAGCCTTTTAATTATAGCCCAGGAAGGGTATAAGGGAAAAAGGACATTTTGTTGTTACGTCGTCGTTAGCACCAGGACAAAGGTTCTCCTGGAAATGACTCTGCTCTGGTGTGCATCACGGTGCACGTACATCCTCAGTTCTATCAC